TTTTTTTTTCTCTATGTGCTTTTTAAATTCAAAGAATTATTTTAAAAGTATGAAAGTAATCGAATATCTTTACTGAGATTTTGAATTTTTTTTTATCTTTTTCTACAATTTGTTTGAATATTTTGCTTTATTTATATTTTGTTCTTTAATTACTTACGAACTTGTGATTTTATTAGTTGTTTGTTTAGTAATTTTCAATATTACCTACAAGATTATAATAAAAATTTAAAAGATATCTCTCATATCATATTTTATTCAATTAAAATTATTTAGTATATTTTATCTCGATCATAGATGAGTTTGGTTCTTTGAAAATGAGAGTTCATCTTAATTGATGAAAATATTATATTCTGAACTATGTATTTTTACATAAATTTTAAAGTCTTTTTTATAACTTTTAGTTATACTAGTTTAATTGTTATTAAATTTTAAATTGAAAGATTATATATGTAATTGACTGAGTCAATAATATTTTTCTGGATTCGCCACTGCCATAGCATTAATGGTGTTCAAATTCGGGTCTTCAAAAAATAACAATAATTTCTTTATCACATAGGCTACTTGGTTCGTGCATATAAAATTTTTCTCTCATTTTAGAAACTTGTTTTCGAATACCACTTTCGGCTGCATGAGTGAGTGAGTGAGTGGCAGTGGACATGTTCATGCAAAATTGGAGTATGAGTTATAGTGCGAATTTTTTTTTGTCTCTCTATGTTTTAGACACAATATAAATATTTAAACAATTAAAATTTGATATAATCCATATTTTAAAACATAATTAACTAAAAATAGTAAAAATAAATAGAGGCAATTGGTTTGCCTAAGATAATCTCAATATTAATTATTATGTGGAAGATGTTAATAATTGGAGTCGTCGTTTCAGGCTCTTGAGTCGGTACTCTCATGCCACTGATGCCAGGCCAAATTTGGCAACCATTTCATGGACTTGGCTATACCGTCCGTCTTGTTTTCTGACTTTTAAGTATTATCCCTCTCTATTATCGTGCTTAAACTTTGGTAATATTTTAAGTATTATTTAATATGTTGGTAATATTGATAATAAAGTAAATAATTAACATATTTTATTATCGTTAAATTTCTAAGGCATTATCAGCTTTAAACAGACGCTACCTATTACATTAAATAATGACTAATTGTTATGTTATTATGGTTTATAATATTTCAAGTAATTAACCTATTTTTGTTATCGTCGGATTTCTAAGGTTTCATCAGCTTAAATTTTGGTAACATTTTAGGCACTACCTAATATGTTGATAATATTAATAACAATTTAAGTAATTAACCTATTTTGTTAACGTCGGATTTTTAAGGTCACATTAACTTTAAACAGGCGCTACCTATTACATTAAATAAGCGCTACTTGTTATGTTATTATGGTTGATAATGTTTACAGTGATTAACTTATTTTGTTATCGTCAGATTTATAAGTCTCCATCAACTTAAATTTTGGTAACATTTTAGGTACTACCTAATATGTTGATAATATTGATAACCTATTTTGTTATCGTCAGATTTCTAAGACCCTCATCAGTTTTAAAAATGCGTTACCTATTACGTTACATAAGCTTTATATGTTATGTTAATACGGTTGATAATGTTTTCAGTAATTAATCGATTTTGTTGAAATCAATATTTTTTGGCGCATTTTACCTACGACGATAGTATTTCCGGTTATTACCATTATTATTATCAATACAAATAATATTTCTAGTGAAAACATATAACATTTCTTGTAACGCTTTTAATCGATCACCTATTTAATCAATCACGCCGTTTTTTAGCCGTATAGTATTCTATCTCCCAGCATAACCTCTCCTATTACGGGACCACTGCAATTGACCGTTCGATCAAGGTTTTTATTTATTTACTTATTCCTCATATAAATTAGAACAATATTGAAAGTAGAAAATACAGACAAAAGAAAAAGGCATGATACATACACCGGATTTAATATTTAATTAAAGCTTTCATTAATTAGGATTTTAAAAATATTTATAAATCGAATTAATTTAAATTTAAAATATTTAAACAAATATAGACCATTATTGTCGTTTCTTTACATATATTAGGATTTCAAAAAATTAGTTGATCATATTCTCATATGTAATGAGATAAGGGGAGGTAGGGTAGTAGGTAAAGTACCCAACGTCATGTTGAAAGTAGCTTCCGTAGAAGACCCAGTTATGAATTGCCCTCAGTGAGACTCAATCCCACGACCACAATATTAAGAGTCTTCAATTCTACCAACTGAGCTAGACAGATAATTCATATATTAAGATTTCAAAACTTTCACCTAATCCCATTTATCTAAAAAGTTACTTTTGTTTGACTACAAATATAGGAGAAGTTCTATCGTACGGCGGCCTTAATATATGGTTAAGAAAATGAATTATCAGTTTTATTATTTTTTAACAAAATCGGTAAAAAATTACCAAAAATATTATTATTTATACCAAAACATTATTGAGCGTTTTACCGAATTTGATAATATATCCGGTAAAACGTTACCTAAAACATTATTTTTTTACCGGATATATTACCAAATCCGGTAAAGCGCCCAATAATAATAAAATCAGTAGAAATAATAATATTTCCGATAATTTTTATCGATTTTGTTAAAAAAATAATAACAAAACCGATAACTTCTTTTCTTAGTCGTATATTAGGCTGCCGCACGGGAGACTTCCAAAATAGATACAATGAGTAGAGTTAAAAGATGAAATGGTTGATAGTAAATACTATGTTAAAATATTAAAATAAAATTGATTTTTTATTATTTTATTTTTTAGATAAGTTTACTTTTTAGACCTAAAAAACAAATAATATAACGTATTCAAATGAAAATACTCCATATTAACAAATAATATAATGTAATTTTGGAATTTTTAAAAAACTTTTAACACCACTAACCACTCACTTTTTTTGAATAAGTTTAAATAATTAATCCGCCATTTATATTATTAATAAATTCCAAAGTTTAGTAGGGTGATTGAGGGGATGGGTTACTTTATTGATACATTATAATTAATTAATATATCATCACCTCTTTGTCTTGTCTAATCATCCCAGTAGTTTATCCATCAACTCACCTACTGAATAATATACACAGTCTCATCTATAATCAAAGGTTGAATCATGCAACTAACTAATAACATTATCATCAACAATTATCTTCAGTCAATGCAGATCAAAACGAACGATTTCAGACATAAAACCTATGAACTAAGTCCCATCACCACCACCAACAAACGCACATATATAGAAAAAATTAATTAGGGAGTGTTTATCATAAGAATGCATCTTAGGGGTTAAAAAAATAGATTATTGCAAGGAAATATATAAAAATTTAAAATTATCAGAGACGACCATTTTTGCTGACGCCGTTTGATTCATCCTACCTGCACGACTCCCCTCATGCCATGTAAGAAGGCAGCCAACGGTGTTTGACGAGCTTCTTAGATGGCATTCAGGGAGCCAGGCAGGCAGATTCAGCAAATAAACTCTAGCTACTGAAACAAAAGTTAGCATGCGTACTTGGATTATGAAGAATAAGATAGTGAAATATAGTTTGCAGGCAGCTTTTCTGATGTTCTTCTTCTTCTCCTGTGTTTCCATGGAAGCTGGGATGATTTAGGTTAAAAGAAGGAGGAGACTTTAAAGGAGGAAGCAAAGGCAAAGAGGAAAACAAAGTTTGTGGAGCTTAATATGGGGGTAAAGCTAAGGGCGGCAACAAAAAACCCTATTTATTTTTTGTTTTTGGTTTTGGTCAATACAAAGACCCTATTTGTAACAAACAGTTATTTCCATGCATAAAAGGCAAAAGGCACTTGGGTTTTACAGGCAGCCTAGTTTGGATTTTCTGCCCAGTTTTCTATTGTAAGCAGGCAGACCGTGCTAATATGTTTAAATAATATTATTGTTTTAGCAGTTAATTACATACATGATAAAACAAGATAAGATATTCTAGTAGTAGAGTAGTAGGGAGTAGAGAGACAAAAAGGCAAAGGCGTCTTCTTTACTGAACGAATACAACTCTTCGGTTACTGTATTTATTTCTCTAGGAATTCGCACTTTCAATAACTCTTCGGCCTAAATGAATAAACATGCTACTTTCTTATTCTTCTTTCTCATTCTAAATAGTTACACACACGTATCAATTCCACGCGGGTTCAATTTTGATTTTGTATACAGTCATTTTAAACATACACATCGAGTGTTACTTTTAAGAAAAATAAAATTATCTTTTACCATTAATAAATTAGATATTAACAATCTCAGCCCTTGTCACTTCGCGTCTCATATATAAAATGGTACCAAAAAAGGGCAAAAAGAAAGGAAAAAAACATCAAGTACCCATGTCTAAATTGCCTGACCAACAAGGCTGGCAATGGCAAGCCCCCCCCCCCCCCACAACAAGGCTGGACTTATGAATTGAAGATAGGTGGATTCATTAATTGGTTTGTTCCATTCCACCACATGACGGATTGACGGGGCTCTTGTCCTCGCACCCTGTTTTTAAAAGCATTCACTTTTTTTTTTTGGTTTTTCTGTCTGCACCAAGTGAAGGACACTGGCCAAACCATTGCCGACATGTGAGTCCTGATATTCCATGTTGTTTAAATGAAATTGAATCATTTAAAAGTTTAAAGATCAATTTAGAATGAATGTTTAGTTTGAGAACGTAGGATAGAAAATGCGAAATTCCGACTAATAAGGCCTTTGATTTCGTTTAGAATGAAGAAAAACCAAATACAAAGATACATGTGATCTTTGAACATGTCCTGACACGCAGTGACACCAACCAGCTGGCCCCGGAGAGGAGAAAAGGAAGTACATCCGGGCTTTGAAATGTATTGGACCTAACAAGCAATCATACACAAAACAGAGCAGACCGAATTCTAAAGCTGCTAAGAGCATCTATAAAATTGAAACACCACTTTTCACAATGAGTAAACTATTTAACAAATATAAACACCACATTTCACAACGAGTAAACTGCAGTGTTATTTTCTTTCAAAAGCTCCAATTCGGGTCTAATTTCCAACATAGTAAAGTATAGATGCATCAATGATATAATTGCTTGTTAAGGGTCCAGAGCCTAAAACCAAAAGATTAAAAAAAAACATAGGTTCCAATTATAAGCCTTTAAAAGAATTTGGGGAACTCACAAAATAGATTCCAACAGCCTTGGCCTCCTCAAAACCAAGCTTTCTCAGTTTAAAAAATTCATACATATTCCAATCTAGAGACGCTTATGTGTTCAATCTCACCGTGCTTAAATCCAACACCTCCTTCAGCCGAGACATAATCTCTTAAAGCTCATTTAGCATCATCATATTGATTCATAGCACATGCATCAAAAGTGATCAAATGTGTTGCCATACTTTAACTACTGATTGCCTGCAATGCTTCTGAACATTTCTGTAACTGTTATGACTTGTGACAAACTACAGCTCTGCAGGAAGAGTCAGTATCTATGACCCATAGACTCATTTCTTGAAGCTGCTTCTGAATGGAATTCATGTCCAACTCTTTATCCCAGTAAACCACGTTTTTATTAGTCTCCAAGGTTTGATTGAGATTTTGGTTACCGATTTTCATGCCCAGGCTTTTCTCATCAATTCGCTTATATCTAATTCCCTTCTGTTTCAATTGTTTTGTCATTACAGATGCGAAATTTCTGCCATCTCCTGGCGGCAAAGCTTTAACCACCACGACTCCAATATAATACAGAAAATCATCAGTCCATATTTCGTGAGTAGTAGGTGAGTGCTTGACAAAAAAAACGTCCAAGCTCTCTCCTGCATAGAAGTCTGTCGGATCAATAGACTCATGAAACAGGTTATTATTGACAAAAACCATGTCTCCATCCAATACCCAAGTATTATAACCAAATTCTAAACCTTTTTTGACAACATAAGCCTTCAATAGAATTTCATTCATAAACCTTTCGTTTGACTCTAGAATTCTCATTGATTCAGATGATCTTATACTGTTGCGAAATCGGTCTGCATCAATCACAGGATGTCCCCTTCGAGCAAGATCAAACATAAAGTCAGTTGCAGGGCCGATCAAAATGTAATTCCAAATATTTTGGCTCTCAAAGTTGCAAAGAAGGTTTCTAGTAATTGTCTCCGACACCCCAAATAGGCTAACAAGCAGAAAGGTTTCCTTGGCCTGCACTGAGGGAAGAATAGACTCCAGATCATTCAAGTGCCTTGCCATTCTTCCCGGAACTACTTCCCTGAAACAGAAGTCATACCACTTCATAGAACTCAAAGATTTCATTTCTCGAAAATGGGAATCAAAAGAATTTGCATCCAACAGTTGAGAATCTGGCCCTGCTGTTTTTCCGTAGTTAACACCAACATCCCTGTGAGAGACGCTAAGTGATTTCTCATCTGGAAACTTCGTGTAGATATTAAAATAGCCACGAGAATGAATAAATTTAATGAACCAAGGAGTCCATATTCTTTCTCCCATCTTTTTGTACCAACCCGTGGTAACCTGTATATAGTTTTTAGATTTTATTAAAGTAAAATAACATCAAATATATGAACAAGGAAAGACGAAGAAAAGAGCTAAAACAACATAAATTTACCATCCCATCAAGAAATGGCTTGATGTTTTTCGCCTTGTGATCATCATACCACAACCTGAACTCTTTCCAAGGCTTTGGAAAGAGAAGCTGGCCCCAAGTGCCAACCAGTTGGTAGAAGAAAAGTCCCGTGGTACTCTCCAGTAGCATCTTGTTCCCATGTTTACCTGGAGATGCAAGCAAATAATGAGGGAAAATAGAAATTTCTAAAAGAAAGAAAGGAAAAAAAGGATCATGTTTAGTGGCAGTTGAGTCAATAATCTTGCTATTTCGACGGTTAGAATGGGATGTGTTTTTCTTTGAAAATAATGTTGTTTTCATAACAATTTCTTCTTACATGATACCCGCATCTGCGACGACAAAGCAGAGGCGATTTACAAGCAGTGGATTGATTACCCTAGCAATTTACAAGCAGTTCTCTCTATTAAAAAACTAAATCTTCTAAAACTGAACAAATAACTAAATCCAATCATCAGTAAACTATTTTATATGATTAAAACGAAAGGCAACTTCAGAATTGTTCATCAAACAATAACAACCATTCATTTCTAGCTAAGCAAAAGGAAAAGTTCGGCCTAAACTACCAAAAATGAAAGGAATTCCAGAAGAAAAAATTACCTGGAACAAACCTTGGTCGCTGAAGGGAAGCTCCATAAACATAAGGACTAAAATTGGAAGAATTGTAATAAAAATTCAATATCAAAGCTTTCAAATACTTAAAATATAATGGAGAAAGCTCCAAATCATCTTCCACGACAAAGGCGAACTCATCATCAGAAATAGGCCACCAGGCGTCTAACCATTGAGCCTGAAGACCCACATTGGCGGTTCTGTAATGAACGATCTTTTGACCCCATTTCCACTCAAACCCGTCAATGAACCGCAGAACTCCGAGTGACTCATTAAGTTTGAGGTTGATGTCGGATTTGGATTGGTTAGGGAAGTGGTCGATGAAGATGTGGAGGTGGACTGGGAGGTCGGGGTCGTAGTGGGCTTTGGAAAGGGAGGTGAGGCAGCGGGTGAGGGAATTGAGGCGGTTAAAAGTGAGGACTTTGATAGAGAGGGAAAATGATCGGATGGCGGAGGCGGCTCTGGTGGTGGCGATAGACTGGGGATTTAGAGGAAGTGTTTGGGTAGAGATGGAATTCGGGTGAGGGGAGTAAAGGAGGAGGAGGATGCAAAAGACAAGGAGGATGAGGAAAGGGATGAAGTGTTTCTTCGGAGGGCCCATTTTCTTTTGGGGTTAGAATTTTGGGAAATGATTTCGAGAATTCATAAATCTCCCTCTCTCTCTCTAAATATATATAAAAGCTCCGTGTGTGGTGGCAATGGCGGATTTTGGTCAGATACCAAGATCTAGGATCCAGTAGTTATGGCAAATTTAAGGTTTTTAAACAGTCGAAAAATAAAAGTTTTCGAGATTTCAGAGTGGAGCAGTTTAAGGTGATTGCAGCCGTGGGAATTGCGGCGGAGAATCAAACCTTTTTCGAATTCAAAAATACATTGAACCCGACGTGAATCGAACACGCAACCTTCTGATCTGGAGTCAGACGCGCTACCATTGCGCCACGGATCCTGCTGTTTCGAAACTTAAAGATTTCTTATATGTATTATTTTTTATTGATCCTATTAGACTTGAATGAAAAATAGTCAAATGAATACCTAATCATTGTTATTTTTTGGCTTTGGGTACTTTAATATTTTTCCTAAAGATAAGTCTATATTTTTGGGTTAAAAATACAATTTCTCACTGAATTTTATTCTCTTATTTTACTTTCATTTTTTTTATTTTTTATTAAACTTTTAAACTCTTCATGTTTTGATCATTTTGAATTGTTTTATTATTATTTTTGTATGACATGTATTCTCTTATTATAATTCAATATAAAAATAATGTAAATATAAAATAAAATAGAATGTGGTCGGACGCCATCGTCGACTGCCGTAGATGGTGGTTGTTCGGTCCCAAATTTAATGGGTCGGTTCACCTTGACCCCCTGAATCCGAATCTGGTGGTTGTTTTATCGAAAAATATCTCAAAATCTGTAAATCTTGATTGAAACATTCCGGCTTCCTCACTTTCGATCAACAATTCATGGACTTTAGAAAAAAGTTCCGACTAAATGAAGGTCGAATTCGGACTCAAAGTATCGAACCAGAACAACCCATGAAATTTGGGACCGAACGGTCACCATTGATGGCGGTTGCGATGACATCCGACCATCTTTTGTTTTAATTTTATATTTTAAATTATTTTTATATAAAATAATAATAAAAAATTACCACATCATACGAAAATAATAATAAAATAATTTAGAGTCATAAAAATAGAAGTAATTCAAAAAGTAAATTAAAAAATTTGAAAGTACAATAAATAAAATAAGAGAAAGAGTAAAGTTTAACTAGATATAATAAAATTTACCCCATATCTTTTTAGTTCCATACATCCATTAAGGAGGCAAGAATGTGCACCGACGTTGTTTTGTTTAATATTTAGAGTAAACAAAATAAAGATGTTTTGGATCGATGACATGTATAAAATTAATGATATATATTATTTTTATTAGTTGAAAATATACCTTTTTTTTAAATAAAAAAAATAATTTCTCCATGTTTCCTATATATACTGTAAAACACAATCCTAGATTAACTACCTTTCTCTATACTTATCTCTTAATTCAAGATTCTTACTGTCACAACGGAGTCAGATTTTCAAAGAAAACACTTCCTTAAAAGTTACTTGCAAGTTAAGCTTTCTTTAATTTTGAAACAATCCCTAAATCCTACACAAACTAGGGTTTTACCACTATATATGTAGAGAGCGAGAGTGTATAGATATACACACGGTGTTCTTTTTTCTCTTTTATCGTCAGTTGTGATCGTTAAGAAGAGAAGAGCGAGATGTCTGGCTCAGAGACCGAGAGTGATTCCACCGCCGCTTCCTTTGTCGTCTCCGTTCGGAACTACTTGAAAACCACCCACAAAACTGAGTCCGAGGTTGCTATGGGGCGAGGCGGTGAAGCGCCTCAAGATTCAAGATTCAGATTCTGTACATATTGCGGCAAAGGGTTTGAGTCGAACAAAGCCCTGTATGGCCATCTTCGGATCCACGGTCAGTATCGGGCTAGGTCAAAAACTGAAACCAGCCGCGTCGAGATTCAAACAAAACCTTCTCCGGCAGAAGACGAAGATGACGGTTTCGGCTGTTTTGTTTGCAGCAAAAGTTTCTCGTCGATGCAGTTGTTGTGCCAGCATATGAGAATCCATCGTGAAACGCTTTCCGATGGCGTCCGGCAACCTACAATGTCTCTGGAAAGCAACTCTAAGATCACCGTCAATGACCGCAACTGGCCTCCAACTGGAGAAAGTGAGTTGAAGAAAACCGCCAGTGACGACGATGTAATGCACGATGCGGTGCCCTTGAGGGCTTACTACGGCCCTGCAACCCTTCACACGGAAACAAGGAAGAAGAGAAAGATTGAAGACACCTCAACGGAGGGAATTGCATATAGTACCGATAGCCCGGTGGGAAATTTTACGGCAATAAATAGGTTTGGCAACAAGTCCAAATCCAGGGTCCGGATGAAGAAACCTAAAGCCATGAATAGCCTGCATCCCTGCGAGATATGTGGCAAGACTTTCACGACCGGTCAGGCACTCGGTGGTCACAAAACGTACCACCGGATGAAGGATCCGCCCAAGGCGGTGTTAGTGCAGACAAAACCCAAACAAGAATCCATTGCTGAAGTTAAAGAGTGCGTCACCAGAATTATGTTGCCTGGATTATTGCCTGAACAAGCTCGTCCGAAGAAGATCTTGGATTTCGATCTTAACATCCCTTGTCAAGAAGAATGACTTATTTCTTCTGGTTAAACTGAACCAAAACCTTAATTTTCAGATTTGTTTAATATGTCTAAATTACTTTTGTCCTGGTCTTTGCTTTCTTTTATCAGTAAAATTGTTGTAACACTTTACATCTTTTATAATTTTATAGATTCTTGCGTATCTTGTATGCATGCATGAGGTATTTGACCTGTAAAATAGTTTTATAAAATTGATGCAACTATGCAACGTTGACTAACGCAATGCGCCGTTTGTTTCCAATTTAAACATCATTGATTAAAATTATCTAAAAAAGTAATTATCAAATACCAATTAAATGAACAAAATAATACTTTGAAAAAAAAAGGAAAATAGGGACGATGAATAATGAATCAGGGAATCTGAAAAATAGGGTTTACTTTGCTCTCAATTTCTTTTTATAAATTCATGATTTAAACATGAAAAGAATGAAAGTTAAATGATTAAAATTAGAATTTTCAAACATTATTCAGGTGAAAAATGTGAGCTAAAATGATTAAAATAATGATATTTATTAGTAATTTTAAAATTTTATTTTTTTTATCTACAACGTTTTTATTTCTTATTTCTCCAAAATTTTATTCTCAAAAATTATTTAACCCATTTAAGAACCAAATACCATTATAATTGTCAGGAAAAACAGGCAAAACTCACGAGATATTGCTGTGAAAAAAAACAATTCACGTGATAATGTTGTCCAAGAAATAATTGTTCAAATGGTGTGAATTATACAGTGCATGGATTGGTCGCCATACAAGCCAAACGAGATCATAGGTCGCCATACACTTGGTGCGACCTTGTAGGTCGCCATGCAAGCGGCTCGAACTCCTCCGTGATTCTGCTGAAATCACAACAAAGGTGGCTCTGCCTCCCTCACCCATGTCTCCCTCATGCATGCAACAATGAAATCACGACAAAAGTGTTCTATACGAGCTGTGGCGAGAGGATGAAGCTTTGCTACGAGCTGTGGTGAGAGGATGAAGCTTTGCATGTGCCATGCACGTCGGAAGAGGTCGCCATGCACGTCGGAAGAGGTCGCCTGCATGCAGTGGGGAGCAGGCGAGCATGCAGCGGGGAGCAGGGCGCAGGACAAGGTCGCCTGGCATGCATGGCGACCTACAAGTGCATGGCGACCTATGCTGGGAAGCTGCCACGCCATAGGTCGCCCAGAAGGCATGGCGACCTACGACCAACACTGTACAATTCGCTCTATTTGAGCAATTAATCTTGAGAGTACGTTATATCGTTAAATAAAAAATTCGAGAACATTATTTCGAAAGTGTTGCCGGAAAAATAGGGCCGGTTTTTATTTTTTTATTTATTTTTACATGCTTTTAACTGTTGGTGCTGAAGAATAGACTCAGGGTGCATTTTGTTCACGAAATGTAAGATTACCAGTGGGAATAAAAGATTACCAGTAGAAATAAAAGATTACCAGGGAATAGGATTACTTGGAATGTTGTATTTTGTGTTTGGTTGGTTTAGCAGGAATATAATATTACCGTGTTTGGTTAAAGGAATAAAAGATTATTGGAATGTATATTGACCAAATTGTCCTTATTATATATTGTTTTTAGCAAGTTGGAAAATATTTATATATTTTCTTTAAAAAAAATTAAATTCATAAAATTTATATTATTTTTTTACAAAATTGAAAAATAAAAGGTTTAATGAAAAGGTAAAATTTTATTTTAACCCCTTAACTTCATATAAAATTTTAATTATAGATTTTTTTTGTAAATTTAAAATAGTTTAAGGATAAATTTGTAATTTAACCTTCATAGAATTTTTATTATTCAATGATAGAATAATTATATTTTTGAAAAAATATTTAAGGGCCTTTTAGTCTAAAACGCCAGTAATCCAACAATATCTAAGGAAAGGGAGGTAATGACATTCACAGTAATATACCCTAAAAAATTCAATATTGGTAATGTAAGATTACCGGGAATGACATTCCCGACCAACCAAATGGGGAAATGTGGATTCTATTCCCATGAGAATCTCACATTCCCCCAACCAAACACACCCTTAAGTAAGTAAACACTTGGGAAGCTGAATATCAAATAAGTTTCATAAATTATATTAATTTGGCAAAAAGACATCGGTCGTTTCTATATTTTTAGGCAAAAGATAAGGCGACTCTCACACTATTTATATTATTTTATCTCTTAATGTGATCTTCTAACTCAAAAAATAAATTTAATGTAATCTTTTAATCAATTTTTTTGTTGACTATTAAAGTGTTAACCTGGTAGTTGATATGACAATCTATGATGTTGATGTGACAGTTTATCTGACATGTTTGAGTTAATAATTTAGTTAATTTAACGTGTCATTGTCACGTTATTAACTACCGTGGACTACCACATCAACATTGTGGATCGTCATATCAGTAGAATGAATTGTCACGCTAACGACCAAGGACGGAGCCAGAATTAAATATTGGTAAGGCCGAAATAATAAACTATTTTTATTAAGGGATTGTTGTTATCATTGAGGTCCCGAGTTCAAGCACGTATGTAGGGGTATGAGCGTTAATTGCCAAATAGTTGAAAGTCTTTATATATATATATATTGCCTTGTATTCACTCTAAATTTAAAAAAACTCAAAACTCAAAACTCAAAATACAACTTCTAATTTGTCTAATAATTAAACTTACAATGACTTAAATTGTAATTAGACAAAAAATTTGAGAACGCGGACTTATCATTCTTTATTTCGACTCCTATTTGATTAAATATTTAATTTTACATAAACTAAAATACTATTAAACTAAAATTATATTAAATATATAAATTTTAACATGAGTCTAGCCCCTTTGAGCCCTAAGAGAGTTCCGTCTCTGCTAACATCATAACGACTAATTACAAAAAAATATTAGTCACAATACCTAATTAAATTTATTTTATGAGTTAAAGAACCACATTAAAAAAAATAATAATATAAGATCACGTTAAAAGAAAAAATAATAAAAGTGGCACTTTGATTTTTTTTAACGGTACAAAGACATTTCTATGCGTCTTTAACTATTAATTTCACGAAAGTGCGTAATCTAACGTTTAAGATAATATTTTCTGTTGTTAATATTTAGGGTACGTTTGTTATTAAAAATATTATATATTTTTTAATTATTTATACATTTTTATTAAAAATTTATTTTCACCTCTTAAATTTTTTTGAATCTATTTTATCTTAAAATTTGAAAAGTTTGTCACCTAGAATAAAAATCATACATCGATTTGGTGTTTGCTTTAAAAATCCTTAATTATTTGATAATAACCGTTTAAATATCATGATATTAGTTAGTGCTCGAATTTAAAATCTCAATCATCTTTTAACATTAAGATCAATCGATTTATGTCAATATTATAATTTTTTATGTTTAATATTTAAGGTAAAAAAATAAAAATGATTCAAATTGATGACAGGTATAAAATAAATGATGTATATTATTTTTATTTATTGGAATCATAACTTAAAAGTGGTAGAAAATGTATGTAATGTAATTTCTCCTTATTCCAGTGAGATGACCGACTCTGATAGTGATTCCGCCGCAGCTTCCTTTGTTATCTCCGTTCGGAAAACCACCCACAAAGCTGAGGTTATGGAGGGAGGCGGCAAAGGGTTTGAGTCGAACAAGGCACTGTATGGCCATCATCGGATCTACAGTTAATGTAGGGCTCAAAGAACACCTTCTCCGGAAGAAGATGAAGATGAGGGTTTTGGTTGTTTAGTTTGCAACGAACGTTTTTCGTCGGTGCAGTTGTTGTGCCAGCATACGAGGAAGAGGGTTTATTACGCTCACATGGAAACAAAGAAGAAGAGACAGATTGAAGACACCACAACGGAGGGAATTGGCGATGGTGAGAGCCCAGTGAGAGATTTTATGGAAATAGATAGGTTTGGAACTCAAGATTGCAACAAGTCCAAATCCAGGTCCTTGCGTGGAAGATCGATGAAGAAAGCTAAGGTGATGAATAGCCTGCATCCATGTGAGATATGTGGCAAGACTCCAGGGAGTGGTAGGGTTTTCGGGGGTTCTGTATAAATTCGTATAAAGGGTCCTATTTTTTAGATATATTCGATTTCAGGACAATAATAGTGACGTTTTCTTAACAAACGCCACAATAAATCTATCTATAATGACGTTTTATCAATAAAGCCGTAATAATAATAATGGCGTTTATTGGTAAAACGCTATTATATATTTTTTTGGGACCTCCGCGGTCGCGCAGTTTGCGCCCCCAACCACGGCCCTGCAAGACTCTCACAACTGGTCAGGCACTCGGTGGTCACTAAACCTACCATCGGCCGAAGAATCCGCCCAAGTTGGAGTCGGTGCAACCAAAACCCAAACAAGAATCGTGTGGTGAAGTTAATTAGAGTGTGTCACCGGAACGATGTTACCTGGATCATTGCCTGAAGATGCTGAACAAGCTCGTTCCAAGAAGATGTTGGATTTTGATCTTAATATCCCTTCTCAAGAAGAATGGGTTATTTCTTCCGTCTTCAGATTTGTTTAATTTGTCTAAATTACTTTGTCCTGGTCTTGGAGTTCTTTTATCAGTAACATTGCTGTAACAACACTTTACATCTTTTATAATTTTATAGATTCTTGCATTTTTAATTCTTTTTCTTTTAGAAAATACTTTACATCTTCCATGCATGAGGTATTTGACTTGTAAATTAGTTATATAAAATTGATGAACCAACAAGACAATTACGCAACTTCGACTTACTAAAGGCGATGATTCGGTACCGAGAAAGAAAAATAATTGATAAAATATTTAAATATTAAAAATTCTTTTTTAAAATTAAGATAAATTTTAAAATATATAAAGGTCAAAAATTAAATTATCTTATTATTTTTAGGGTTACATATTTTTAATCTAAATATTATTTTTATCTAAATATCGGTCCCTGGAATTATATTTATTATATTATTTTTATTGTTACATTTAAAATATATATATATATATATTTCGTTATGCTTGAATTAAAATTCACGGTAGAGATCCAAAACAAACTGGAACTAAATCAAAACATGAAACATCCTCATCCATTAAGCAGTAGCAAGAACTGCTCAAAAACAAAAATATATAACATTATAGAGGGGAAAGCACGGGAAAAGGTTGATAACATTGCCAAAAATGGCAGTGTAACAGTTTTGGAACTAAACGGTGAGGATTTAAATTTTGTTGAATGCAACAATGTCACAGCTCTGAATGTATTCGTTGCGTGGCTCCACTGTGAGGTGCTCCTCTATAAGGGTATCGACCGAAACAAGATCATCCACTATAGTAAGCATGATCTGTAGCTTCTTAATGCCATAACCAACGGCAACCAGCTTTGCTGCAAGTTAATGCAAAACAAATATGATCGTTAGGATAGGCACTGTATTCTGTATGCAAATCATCTAGTTACTTTGATTCTTCAGTTCATCTGAAGTACCCATGTCTAGCATATTCCAACATTAATATTAAGACATGAATATACTCGTATGAGTCCAAAGTAACTTCGGTGCAAAAGATTAACAGAAATTATATAACCAAACCATACATGCTCCCCACAAAAGCCCAGGCATCTCGACAGATCGAACAGCTTCTTCTAACTTCTTCATGTCAGTCTCATCATCCCACGGTTTAACATCCAAAAGAACAGAAGATTTTCCACCTGCAAGAATCGACCGATGTCAAAAGCAGCAAAAATGCATCCTTCAAATGAAATGAGAATGGAAGGGTCAAATTACTTTAACCAACACAAATACTTACTCTCTTTCTTCTTAGCAGACTTTTTAGAGGCTTCCCTCTCCTCTGCCGCCTTCTTTTCCTCCTCTGTCTCATCACCAAATAGATCCAAGTCATCATCATCAGCAGCAGCCTGATCGCATAAAACAGGTAAAAACAATTAACACAATTGAAATAACATAACAGATAAAAAGAGGAAGAATGCTAGAGGTTATGTTCTCAACATTAGCATTTTTCAATCAACAAGCTTCAAAGTTACAAGCACTATTTTAAAGGCAATTTTCCCCTCCCTTGGGGAACATTTGAGGAAGTCAAAGGGAAAAAAGAGAGTTCAAACTTCAAAACTTGAACCATGGATGAGTCAAGACGAGACCTAAATATAGTAATCTAGATAACATATAAAAATTCAAAATACCAAAAAATCAAATCATAAAGAAATAGTGTTTAACAGAATTGAATAATTATTTTTTTTTAAAAAAAAAAAGAAAACTTTGGTATTTTTATGCAAGAGGTGACTCAACTGAACATTAGGAAGAATCACAAAGCTGATAAACTATTCAATATCCCCATAAATACTCAATTCAATTAACTAATTGCATATTGTTGATATACTCAATTAACTATATTGCTCTGTAGGCTGCAATTTTTAACTATAGTTTTCATTTTGTTGTCTTCAACGGATGAACTTCAATCTACCAAAGTACAAGAGGCAATCGAACTATAACTTAAAATATAACTATGAATTAGGTCCTAACAAATCAACTTGAAACAAACCTCAGCTTTGACAGATTCAGCTGGAGCAGCGTTGCCACCAAACCCAACGCCTACAGCTTTCCCAGGGAAGCTAAAAAAATTGAAAACAACGTGAATTTTCACAAGGCTCGATCTTCAGATTCAATCAAATTTCCAAAAGGCAGATCTTACAAAGTAAAGAAAATTACTTTTATCCTTAAAAGGTTATCATGAAAACAACACATTAAATAAATAAGAAACATTACCTGGTGGCAAGTTGGGATGAAACAGAATCATACCACTTGCTAACATTGGGAAAAGAATCGCCAGGATTCTTCAAAACAGCAGCATAAACCTTTATGTCATCCTTGGTCAGCTTATTCCTGAAAAAAAGAAAACAAAAAAATCCCATAGGGATTTCAATATTAGTACTTAAAAGATTCGAACATAATCATTGGGTTTAAGGGGAAAAACTAAGAAGATAAATAGGGGGCTTACCCGGAAATGTAAGATTTTCCAGAGAGGAAGTCATTAAGGGATTTAAGGCCAGACTCAGTGTGGAGATTTGCGAAAGTGACGGCCATTTTTGGCAATTGAAGAAGAAGAAAAGAGAGATGAGTAGCAGAGATCTAAGCCAAAAAGAAACAAAGGCGGAAAGAGGTAAGAAAAATGGTAATTAGTGATATATATATGGTGGAGGCACATTGTGAGGCATCCAAAACCCTAGAATCGCAAACTGGGATGGCATATTCGCATTTTAGTTAGGGAATATACAAAATTTGGTATCTTTACTTTGTATTGTAGTTCAAAACAGTACTTATAGTCTTCTTAACACAATTTGGTACTTAAAATTGGCTACAATTTCAAATTGGTACTTAATAATCTTTTGTTCCAAATTAATAATTGAAGTTAAATTCTATAACATATTTTAGCATCTAAATTTGAATTTAATTATCAATTTCAACTATGGCATCAAGTTAATGTCAAATCAGTGTTTCGAATTTCAATATAAGAGGTCGACATACCAATTGTTCAAGTTCATGTTGCTTTTCCCGCATGAATTTTTCTTTGAAAATGGTAGACTAGAACTTGATAGCTCATTGGCCACAAATACTTGCACTAGTTTAAAAATCCCAGTTTCACTGCATAATATATGTGCATCCCTGTTTCACTAAAAAATAATTTTCCACAATATTTCACTAAATTAGCTGGATTTTGATGCTACAACCATCGGTCGCGTGTTCAACAAAAATCTAGCAAACTTGGAATACGAGAAGTGAATCTGTCCGGCAAGAGAAAAGAAAAGCGGTTCTTCTCAACGTGAATTTGCAGTTGGAACTCTTGCCTTGCGAGGGCCATTCGTATGCTTAATCCTATGAAAATCCAGCTTTTCTTGTGACTGTTGAGGTGGCGTTCTTGGCTTTTCTTGTGACCGTTGAGGTGGCGTTCTTGGTGTATCCATTGTTGAATGGAGTCGTTCCAATGAAACCTGAACATCGGCCATGGAAGGCCGGTTCTTCGGATCAGCGTGTAAGCATCGCAATGCAAGAGCAGCGGCTGCTTGTGCTCCTTTCTTAGAGTACTGTCCCCCCAGCCTTGTATCCATTATCCTTAGCATTTTCCTGTTGTCACTTAAGAAGGGTTTTGCCCAATCAACCAGTGTGTCTTCGGAAAAACCAGCTATCTCATCATCCATTACCCGTCGTCCCGAAAGTAATTCTAGGAGTACGACACCGAAGCTGTACACATCACTCTTTGGGGTCAAACGACCTGCGAGGTTTAAACTAGTCCGTTAGTAGGTTAGTAGGATTGATAGATACCCCTCCCTGGAAAACCACATACTAAGAAAATAACGACTATCAATGTACCAATAAGGTGTTTATTCCCAAAATTTTCTTCCATGAACATTATAACTTACAACCCGAAGAATCCTGATAATATTAGAAAACCAAATTTACGAAGCCTAGTTTGATCTTTCTAAACAAAAGAGTCTTGCTTTCGATTTTCAACCGAAACCTTTATGGTCTACTATAGCGCCTGTATTGCAGATGCAGTTAGTTATATCTCCCAAAGTTTTTCTTTTAGTTTAATATCCTTACAGTGAAATAAATTGGTAGCTATTACTATCATGTTCCCATTAAATTATATGTATCATGTTCTATGGCTCCAAACCTCTGTTTGTCGAATCTAGGTGTGGCAAAGTACATTAAGGTCTAAGAAGGTCGGATTATATTGATCATTTCATTTCCCAACTCACTGCTAAATGATCCTTTTTCCAAACTTATTTGTAAAACAAAAGTCAGGAGTATGAGATGACGAATGCCAAGTAGCACCGTAACATGGTCAAAGTAGAGATATTGTTCATAAGAAAGGTGATGCACACCTGTTGCAATGTATTCGGGAGCCGCATAACCTTGAGTCCCAATAACTCTGGTTGAGACATGGGTGTTATCACCAGTTGGACCATCTCTTGCCAAGCCGAAATCTGAAAGCTTTGCATTGTAGTCCTACATAGTTTAAACAACAGAAACAGCACTAGTCATTAAATTAAATGTTTTATCAATAGGAAGATCTGAGTAATACAACTCAACGACAAGTCGGAATTTCTGAGGCATCAGCATACCGAATCGAGAAGAATGTTAGAAGCCTTCAAATCACGGTAGATTACATTAGCATTTAAACCATGTAAATAGGACAATCCCCGTGCAATTCCCCTAGCGATGTGCATTCGTGTAGCCCAGGAAATTGGTTGAACACCTTCTGAAAGAAGAAAACAATAACTGTTAGTCAAACCATATCACTACAGCAACACTGGATAAGGCCTCTGTGAAGGGGAGATGACCAGATTCATAGCATACCGTTTAACGCTGTACTTTTACGAGGCATTGGTGCAAACTACATGGTTTAAGATAGATAAGAAGAAAGAGACATGCTTACTTCTAAATAAATGATTCTCCAAACTTCCCTTTGGCATAAACTCATAAACCAAAAGCCTATTCTCAGACTCTGCACAATAACCAATGAGTTTCACAAGATTTTCATGGTGAAGCTGACCCAAATAGTTAACTTCAGCCTACAAAGTGTATCAGAATGGAATCAGTTTCACATATTAACTTGAAAAACATAAAAATTATATAGATAAACAATATATATCTAAAAGAAAGAAAACCTGAAAAATAGGAAATAGATCTTGTAAAAAAAAGTACATACAAGCCATTCCCTGTGGCCTTGAAAGCTTTCTTCTTTGAGTTTTTTGATAGCCACAACAATTCCAGTTCCTGGCTTGGCAGGAGCAAAGGTGCTCTCATCAATCCAACCTTTGAAAACCCATCCAAATCCACCCTCTCCGATAAGAGTTTCCGACCGGAAGTTTTTGGAGGCATTTTTAAGATCAGAAAAGCTGAAAGACTTGAGGTTGCTAGAAACAGATGTATCAACTTCGAGTTTATCTGCTACATGTTGCTTGTTCGATTTTTCGTGAGGCGATTTCTTGGTGGAAGAAATTGATTCCGGCTTTATCTTACTATGGATCTTTGAATCGCCTAAAATAACAAACAACAGAAGCCATAAATTTATTGCCCTCTAAACCATATCAAAAGTCAAAACAGCACTGCTTATTGATAAAACTCTCAATTGTGTTCAGAATTCATTGCTAGTTGCTTAAAACACACATCTGCTGAAGCCCTTCGCAAGATTCAGATCAAATACTGAGAATTGATGATTCCATCAAGAAATTAAATGGGATTAATCCATTATAAACCAAGTGAATTTAAGCTTAGAAGCAAATTTGCCTAACAACAATCTTCACTCTAATTAAGCGACCAGCAGAAAGCCAATTAGCCATCTAATTCTAAGCCCATTGCTCATTGAACTTCCCTTTTTCAAACAAAAACTGCAAAATAGTTCCTGGGTCAACGCATGAAGAACCCAAACCAAAGAATCCATAATACAAATAACCAAAAAAAAAAGAACAAAATGTTATTAAGAAATTAAACTGACCTGAAAGGTTAGTGGAAGAAACATGAGCGCACTTTGCAGGTTTAGGCCAACAAATCCCCATGGTAGTGGATCAGATCACATAGAGAAGATGGTCAAATCATATAATTATAGTTGTTCTCAACGAAAATGATAACCCTTGATAAGGGTGGAAGAAAAATATAGTAAAGGACAAGAAAATATCCAAAAAGTCAAAACTTACCATTGAAAGAGGCTCCTGAAATGGAAGTAGTCAATGGAAGATGTTGAAGGATGCAAGCTTTACCCACCAAAAGAAGATTAAAAAAATAAAAAAAAGGTATTTTGACTATTGACTTTACAGCACACCAATGCATGCTCTGACCCGTCTTTCTTTACTTTCAAATCTCGCCCATTCCGAATAATATTAAAATACAAATGTAAGAGCATAAAAAGTATTATTTTTTAATTGTATGGGTTTTAGATTTTCACATGACAAACAAATCTATCCACTTTATGAGGTAATTGATATTAAATTTAAGGTCATTTTTAGCAAACAAACAAGGAGAGTATACTTTAATTTCAGTGTCGAAACTTGAAAGAGAGAGTCTGACAAGGTTTTGAATGAAAAAGGGGTTGAATAGAAAGGCAAATTGGCTAACATACTATCTACTAACAGCAAGAGACTGATAAATAGCTAAAAGTAAGAGACTTTGTCAAATAAAGCAGGGTTCAACCTACTATCTTCTTTGATGCGCTTGGAGTTAAAGGAGTATGTTGATAATTATTTTGTCCATCTAAGTAGCTGTGGGTTTTAAACAACATTCTACTTGAACTTCAACATTTGAAGGAAGGAAGACATATTCATTTCAATCAAAAAGTGATGATCAATTAAATGAAATTCAAATTTGGATATTCCTTTCTTCACCGATAAAGTCTCCTTGAAGGTTGAATGATAATGGATTTCTGCATCAGGGAATCTTCCATTTTTATATCCACATACGTGTCTCTTTCCATCTTTTTCTTCAAAAAAATTGCTCCCCAATATTTGTCATTGGCATCTGTCTGGAGAATTCTTTTTCCATCTGAAGGGATCTGCAATGGTGGCAATTGTTGTAGTTTTTCTTTCAATACTTTGACAGCTTTGGTTTGAACTTCCTTCCACGGAAAGGGGTCTTTTTTAAGCATTTTTTCTTAAAGGATTAGTATACTTAGAGATTTTTGGAATAAAATCTCTTAAGTAATTTACTATCCCTAAGAACGGGAGAACTTGCTTCATTGTGAGATCTTCTTCTAGGAATTTCAATAATTCTTGGGCAATATGTGGTCCTGGATGATATCAACCATCTTTAACATGCATTCCTAGAAATTCTATCTCTTGTTGGCAAATCTTCATCTTTCTTTCAGATGACATAATCACATACTGTAGAACCAATTGTTTAAATTGGTCCAGTAATTTGGAATGGGATTCTTCATTTGGACTGTAAAGGAGAATATCATCAATGTAAACAAGAGTACTCTTCAGGATTGGCTGAAAAATATTGATCATTACCTTCCGGAATAATGATGATGTTGTCTTGGGCCCAAAAGACATTACCTTCCACTTATAGTGATGATTTGGAATACAAAATCATGTTTTGGACCTATCTACAGGATCTATATCCAATTCGTCTGGTATATACCAATGATTTTTCTTTATACATGACCACCTATTCAGTGTAAAAGAAATTCATTATATACTTAAAAATTATTTATATAAGAATTCAGTATTGAAATTATCTCAACAATAGTAGGAAGTCTAACTGTTTTTTCACGATCGGATATGCCCAGAAGAATGAGACATCCACCGATAGTATTTTTCCAATAATTAGTTGCCTGACACATTTCTCTATTCAGAGATGTCAAAACTGCGAAGCCCCAACTGAATGAGTAGGCAACTCGAAAATATACGATGTAACGCAACCACATACAATGAACTTGGTTGCGAGATTTATCGGGCATCAAGATCCCTCCTATGAGTTGTAATATGCAAGCCCGAACAAATATTTTAGCATGTTCCTCAGAACAGTCTTCGCTCAACTGTCAAAATTTTGTAGCCAACCATGATAAATGTATTTGACCACCGTTAAAATTAGGCGGGATACCTCAAAGACACTCCTCACACAAGAAATGTCAATCACCATTTGCCACACCAGAAATAACATCCCCATCTACCGGAAGCCCTATATGTATGGAAACATCCTCTAGCGTAATAGTGCACTCCCCACATGGAATATGAAATGTGTGTGTCTCTGGTCTCCATCTCTCAATCAGTGCAGAAATAAGGTTGAATTCAAGGTTCCAATGCCCTTCATATTTCGCTATGTCAACGAATCCAGCCGCATACGACCAGACACGACTCGATATCTCTAACTTAACGTTACGAATAAATAGATCTTGTTTTGATTGGCATTTTTTAGGCTCGAGAGAGGAGTGAATGGATGTTGTTTTGATGAGGTAAATACATGGGGGCTGGTGTTTATAAAGGAATTGCAAGAGATTCTAGCCCTCAGCTTTATTCTTGAAGCCTAAAACTGCATGGACTGTCATATTCCTCAATTTGGAAACAAATTCGAATTGTTCTTGTGTATATATGTTTACTTCTACTATTATTCCATAATTTAATTTTTGTCATAATTTAATTTTTGTTTTTATGTCCATTTAAGCTCTCTTATTCCATACATATACTTGAGTATAAAAGGGTTGGATATATGTGATACTTTAACCGAATCCGAACAAAATGGCTATATATTATTGATTTGGTTGGCGCATGGACAGTGAAAGAAATGTACAATCATGAGAATATGTCACCCATCAAGCTTATAATATTTATAGGTCAATGAAAACTTAGGTTATTTTCATCATTTTAATGCCGAAAGGGACAAGATATTAGAGTTATGCAATTATTATTTTCTTGGTTTGAAGAATGACTCCCCCAGTAAAGCTTTAAAATTTAATGAAAAACTAGAAAACTTTAATATAATATGAGAAGGGGCGGATGCATGTGGCCCATACTCATTATTTTAGATTAGATATTAAATACAGTTTAATATATCGAAGGAAGAAGAAAAAAAATAAGAAATTTTGCATACTCATTATATTGAAAAGAGAGTATTAAAATTTTTAGACCCTATTTCGAAATTTATGGATCTGTAATCGAATATGAGGAATAAAACTTGTCTTTTTCTACTTATCAGGAACATTCTGGTTTTTGTCATTTTGAATACACAGTGTTGGAGTCTACAAAAGAAGCTGCTACTCTATTTCATAAAGTGGCAGATTTACGTAAGATCAATGTAAGACTTATTTGGCAAGAGATCAGAACTAAGGGAAGCAAAATGCCATGGAAACAAGAAAACAGTTATTTACACCTGATAAGGGATGTTAAGATCAAAATCCAGCTTCTTAGGATGAGTTTCTTCAGACAACAGCATTCTGGTGATACACTCTTTAACTTCACATGTTTCTTGTTTGGTTTTTGCTTGTACTAATTACTCCGCTTTCCATGGATCCTTCACGGTTTCACCCAATGGTGCGTTTTGTGGCCGCCGAGTGCCTGGCCCGTTGCGAAAGTCTTGCCGCGTATCTCACATTGGTGCACTCTTTTCACCACCATAGCCTCCATTGATCTTCTTCCATGCCCGGTCCCTGATTCGTTGGACTTGTTACTATTTTAAGTTTCGAGCTTCTTCATCGTCACGCTATTGCCTAATAGCTCTACCACTGTGCTCTCACTATCAGCACCTCCCTCCATTGAGGTATCTTGATATAGCCCATGTCTTTCGGCAAATCTATGTTGTGGTCATTACTTGGAGAGACCGTGCTCTCAATACTAGTTTGAGAGTGGTCTCAGCTTCATTCAAAGAATTGTTATTTAGTGGTAGAAGAAGATAAATCCCTAGTTGATGTGTAGCCCTAGGAGATTACACATTGAGTGAAATTTAAAGAAACTTCATCAGCAAGAAACTTTAATTAAATATTTTTTTTTATTTTTTGGAATGGATCATATTTGATATGCATTAGAGTATTTTTTTGTTATTTGTTTACCGATCATTTATATACACATACTCATAGAATAAATCTACAAGGTCAAACCCTCGTAGTTTATTAAAAAAAAGTTTAGTTTAACCCAAAGTTTAAATGTAGAAGAAATAGTATAAAAATAAGGTTTCACTTATATCTTCTACATAATGGGGTTCCAAATATATCTAATCTTATAAATTCTGATATTTTTGCTAGCATCAACCACATGGTAGTTTCCAGAGATGCACCAACAAATATCCACAGCTAGCTCTTGCTTGATGGGGCATCATGGCTTGACACAGCAGTTAATGCAGGTCAAGAACCAGTTTTTCTTCTGCATAAATATTGATGTAAGATTAAAACAATGACTTTTATGTGTGAAATGAAAATGACACACACACATGCATATACCTTAACAGGAACTTCGGGGTCTCTGATAGGGTCGGGTTCGTGTTTTTGAGGCGGGGAAGCCGGGACGAAGTCTGGTCGTTCGCGAGGCTACACATAACATCACTCTTGCATTGCTTCCTTTTGTCACGAGCTCGAGAGAACACCACTGAATAACTCGTGGCTCCCTTCTCATCCCACCCCCCGAATCGAGGAATGGACATCCCTTCATTGTTCTGTCAAATCCCAAACAACTTCATATATTTACTCTCACGAGTATGGTTTTTTCAAATAGAATTTTATGAATGTTTCGAAGAGAAAGCCAGGCATTATACATGTCTTGTAATAAAAACATTGCATGGAATTACGAGGGTTTAGAGATTACCTCTGTCGGACGAGACATGGTGGCGGTGGTAAAGTATAGGAGATGGATTGATTAAGAGGTTAATTACTCAATTGATTATTGATTTTTCGAATTAATAGATGGTGGGGTTTGTTTTGGATTCGTTGAATATAACAAAGTATGGTTATATAGACCGTTTATTACAGCATTTGGTAGCAAGTACAAACCCTTTGGATAAATTATGCGTTTAATATTAAACTATAAGTTTTGATCCGTTTAAGTACTTAAACTTTTAATTTTTTCAAAATCGTACCTAAAGTTTAGTTTTCATTTCATTTTAATAC